AGATCGAGTCGTCGGGGCCCCTGCCTTCGACTGCTGCCCAATCCACTGTGCACCGGCCCCTTACGGATCATCCTGCAGGTGGTGGGCCCACGGGAGGACGTCCCCACGTCGCTTGTTCGGGCTAAGCAACTCCATATGTTCTCCATAGGTATGTTCTTAATGTATATAAATGCTTAATTTTCAGCAAAACAAACTGCACTGAAATGACCAATAGCTTCACTGATTTGCAGTTTTGATCATCAATTCTTGTGATCAAATAAAAAATACCCAATACTTGTTTTGTCAGATTTCACTAGTAAGCAAATGAAAATAGTTTTGTTGCACTTTTAACACAAACTAAAACTGAAGAATTGTGCATTAATTAAAAATACAGCCGATGCTGACTGAAAAGTAACAAGTAACTGGAGAGCAGAAATGCCCCAGCTTTGTTTGAGATGGTTTAGTAACCATTTTTCCACCAGAGAGCACTACTTTTAACTGTAAAATGTCTCGCTCAGTACATAACCTCATTAAAATTCTTGAAAAACTAATTTAAGGCATCCTTACCTAAGTGTTATTTGCTTTTCTGATAAGTACATGAATAATAAAACAATATTTTGTAATCAATTTTTCAAAATTCTAAACATAAACACCGGTATCAGCTTCAAACATACAGCATCAGTTGGGCTATAATATAGGCTAAGTATTGCAGGGTACAGCATACTCTGTTACAGCCATACTGTTGTTTATATTGTAAAAGTAATAGCTCAGATGACAGTCTGTAAAAAGAAAAAACTACAAAATGAATGTTTGTTATTTTGTCCTCTTAGGTCAGTCTTTCCTTTTGTATCACTTCTCATATTTCAAGCAGAAATCTAATCAAGGGCGGCCTGAGCCAGCCATCTCTGTTTCTCATTACCTGAGGAGGGGGTGATGGATGCAATAGGTGTGGCAATGATGCTGCTGGGGTTAAGGGCGGCGAGCTGCTGCATCTGAACTGCCGCCACCGTGGCAACAGGAGAGAGGTAGGCCGACTGTGCCCCCAGGGCCTGCTGCTGCATCAACTGGAGGGTGGGGGGGGCGTTTGTGATTGAGAGGGAAT